CTGCGAAACACATTATTTTGTTTTTTTTTATTAGTTCAAAAAATTGCTTATCGTGCTTACCGTAATAATGTTATCTTTTATACGAATTTGATTATAGTATTCTGTGAAGTAAATTGACGCATAAGATGGCTAAGCAATAATTTCCGAAATCATAAACACTTAGTATTACAAAGTATATGATAAGAAATGATTATTTTACATTGTAATTTTAAAGTACGAAAAATGCAATGCTTCGGAACCACAACGGCAGATATAATATAAAACTAAATATAGTACCTAATGGAAATGAAACGAACGAAAAATTATAAACTGTTATTGATAATCCATACATGAAAACTATATCGAAAATAAAAAAAGGTCGGTAATTAATAGATAATACTAATGGTGTTATCTTAAGTGTCTACGTGGATTAGTGGGGTTAATAATATGACGGTTTTTCTCCTTGTTCATTTTTAAGTTTGGTGTACACCACTTCAGCCGTTGTAAGTTACGCGCTCTGCAAATTCGCTCTCAAATAAATATATATATTCTCTATTTGGGTAACCCGTGAGATGTTCTCGAAGCCAAGTGATAGCAGCGGCATTTGAATGTGGATTATTATAAATTTTGACGCGGAATCCTTTGTATATAGTTAAGCACTGTGCACAAGAAGAGGGCATGTTTAGAAATTTCCGTTGCTTCGGTTTAGGTAAAAAGTTTGCAGCATATACAATAAAAACACTGCGGATATTTAAATTTTCATCATAAATGAACTCGTAAAATAATAACTAAAACGCGTTCAACCCGGCTAGTAATGATGAAAGAGGTAGATGAGTAGCCGTGGGATAGATTACTGTACTCTTTAAAGTTTTAAATATCTATGTTACCGGAAAAGATGACAATCAGTCCGAGTTGACAATGACTAATCAATAACGATAATGCCTGATTTAGTAAGGAATTAATGTCAATACCTAGTCATTGATAACAATTCCTAATAAAAGAAGGCATTGATAATAACATTAAAAATTAATTTAATGTATTTTAATACTTATTAGCTGTTTAGGATAAATCATAATCTTAATCTTTATTGTTACGTGGTAAATTACTATGACACTTGGAATTATATAATCTAGTACAGCGGTACCCAAACTGTGCTCCGCGAAGCCTTTGGTGCTCCGCAATGGTTTGTCTAGGGCTCCGTTCGTAACACCACAAAAAATTTAAAAAAATGTTCGTCATTTAAAATTAATATATATTTCATGAAGACTTGAATGTTCCATAATCAGATCGATCACCGATAAAGCGGTGTTGATATTTGTTTGAATGCGGATTTATAACATTGCCTAATATAATACGGAAATGTTGATAAAACTACGAAATATCCAACATTGCCTAACCTTTCCAGTCATTGTCAACAATGACTAGGATATACTGACAATTTCTGAATTTTCATCTTTTCCGGTAACATCTATATTGATTATGATTTAAACACTGATTCTATTAATTTTTTTTATTTATTTAAATATAACTGGAAGAAGCGTAAATATTTCAGGGGTACTGAAGACCATTTCAATTGTATGTTTTTCAGAATAAAAAAAAAAAATAGGAAATTTGTACGTAGGGTGGTTTGGGGGGAGGGAGACACGTACATTTCGATCATTTTTAAGTGACCCGGATTCTGCTAGGAATCGGTTTTAGATATTTTGCAATGGTTTTTAGTACCTACACGCGAATGTTATGCCTTTTAAATAACTAATCACCTGTGTAAAAGAAACACGATATTATGAGTGCATTAACGCATTGGCTATATTTTTTATATCAAGCTGTTGGGTCGAAGTGACTAGACAAGCGTTGTGAACGCGATCCATAGGTTATCGGACAAACCGTAATGATTATGAAGGATGCTTAAGTACGGGTGTATGCGTATGGACATTACATCGTATCGTTGTTGACGTGTGCAGTCGCGTTGTTTAAAAAGGAAATCATTCGCATAAGGTTGTCCGTTTGCGTACAGTAAATTATAATAATTTTATGCCGTATTTGGGAAGTGTATACTTGCCCAATCCTCATCGCTCGGGGTCTGCAACGTAGTAGGCATAATATACAACAATAAAAGTGGTAAGCTCGACATCGTCTCGTCCGGAGACCGAGGGATGTACGTAGAACAAAGGATTTTCGCGATGGTGGTTTACGTACAATAATGTTTGTAATACCGGCCGAACACATACACGTTGTGCAAAATAATTTATGTGAACCGATTTTTATTTGGAATGTCACGGTATACATAATACGCATGGAGGGAGGGGGAGAGTGAGGTATCTTTATTTTATATGCTCTATGACAATTTTCACGTCCAATAAAGCACGTGTTATGTGTATACGTTTTTTCGTATGGCGATAAATTTCGTTTGTTCGGAAAATTTTCCGTTGAAATCTTACAAAGAATATTTTTCGTGAGTTACCATCATAATAAAATAGACTAGACTCCGGTAAAGGGACTATACACCTTAATTCAATAATAATTATCAGCTTTTCCTTCTAAAAATGTCCACTTCAACAAGCAATGGAATTACACGATTTCCATTGCAAGTGCCACGTATTTGCACTAAGACATAACGGTTGTCCGGAAATTGTTTGTCGTACGGATGAAGCGGGGGTCGCACGTGCGTTTACAAAATACTAATTCAAGAGGTTCAAAAGAAGAGCCGTTGTAATCCTGGGGCTGTATCTTGCGCCAGTGTATAACACAGTGGTTCTCAACCGGTGTGGCACGGCACACTACTGTGTCGCGAGATCGACTAGGTATGCCGTGAAAAATGTCTGATATTTGAAAATACCGATTGATGACAGCTAAATATCAATTAATTTTGCAGACAAGACGATACATATATAGGTAAACTGTACGGTTCTAACCTAACTGGATATCTTAGCGCGCAGCCAAAGTATTTTTTTGTTTTCAAGTGCATGAGTGTGCCGCGAAAACTTGTAATGCATAATGGTGTGCCGTGAACGAAAAATGGTTGAGAACCACTGGTATAATATACAAGTTACGCGTACTCGTAGAATACGGATCGAAGTGATCGGAACACCTAACGATATTCCGTTTATTATGTATAAATTATATAGTTATAATGTGACGTGTTTTATTTTTACGTTTTTCTTTACGGCACGAATGAGTAATTTTGCAACTCGAATTTCATTATTATAATGTATATAGGTACATCCGCGCGCACTATGCGTAACTGATGCAGATCGTTGTGTATAAAAATCGGTATACACAAGTGTATCGTATACATGTACTGAACAACGCGGATTCACAACGATTGAAAATAATTACAGGGATGTGTTGTAAAGAGACACAGATCAGTTTTTTCAGACACCTACTTTATCGCGTGGTAGGGACACTGCACACAGGATCTGAAATTGGAAATGGAAATACTTCTGAGAACCATTGACCTCTATGTACCAATAATAAGAGTGTTACAATATAACATATTAATATATGAACTATCCGTGTGTATAGCGTTTATCAGACCATACATTGCACTGTTTATTGCACGATTATGAAATATAGTATTGCGCTGCTGTTGTGGTGTAACTTCATCGGTGATACAAGGGATCAAAGACCGTGACCAACGGATTTACGAAAATTGTAAGTATAATAAAGAGTAAATGAATAATTATTAAAACCGTTTTAATTTCTTTAAGTTTCGAGTTTATGAACCTTGTGTATACCTGATTTTGAATTATGAATTATGGACTTGTACTTTATAAATATTATAATACTCCAGGCAAAGCATTTATTTAATTATGTATTGAAACATTAATGTTATTTATTTCACATTCAGATACATTTTTGTATTTTATTATTTCAATTATTTCCAGCTAAGATGAAGCGGAGAGCAGCTGCAGCACTTAGTTAATATATTATATATATAAATAATCGACTCGAAGATCACGAGAGAATTTATTATGTATTATAATTGCCGCTCTTACCTTCTTGTGTTCAGTGCGTGCACAAATGTCTAGTCCTGAGTGAACTCGAACTTTTCCTCCAGTGATAAAAATAATCATAGCACACTTCTATAATTAATTAAATGTTTTACATTACACATTTCTCGGCACGTGCAAGTAGATAAAATTATTTCCACTTGTTCAAATAAATCAAGAAAATAAATTTCATGTAATATTGTAATATTATAATAAGTATTGTATATTCAATATTGTATTTTAGTAACCAATGCCATCAAGCGTCCACCCGGACTTTTAGCGACTTAAATTAAAGAGGACGCATATACTTACCTTAAATAAGAAGGGGGACTCTACTCCCCTTCGTCCCTCCCACTTTAAACCACTGATTATACATATACATCATTGTATTATCTATATTATTAAATCATTACATTGCGGGAAACGGTTAAATGAATAGATCTCGATATAGATACACACTACAAAATTGTTGGGAAATTCAGGGGAGAGAGCAGGTTTATGTATGCATTATTTTATGCTTTAAGAGCATTAAAATCTTAATCCTTCCTGTAATATTTAAACACATTTATTTGCACATTGTACGTGCACCTACTACTTGTTGTTATATATTACATCGTGATCATCAGGATTTTACTTTAAATACATTGTTGATATTTTGTTTATATAAATAACTTTCAATCTGAATAGGAAATTGATGCACAGATTTCGACTGGTATTCCAAGGTTAGATATCTGGTTTAAATACATGCGAATTACATATTACCAGTAGCGGTACGTGAATAAAATTTACGGGGAGACTTAATTTTTGTGTAATTATTGATAGTTATTAAATTTTCGATAGTAAATTATTCTACTTCATTCTAAGTTTTTAATTAAAACTAGATACTGAAAAATTGATTATTCATTGTTTCTTGTATACAATATTGTGATAGATTTATATATATATATATATATATACGAGGTGTGATCAAAAAATACCGGGATATTTTTTTTTTTTTTTATTTATTTAAATATACAAATAATATTTCAAATATTAGTCTCCTTCAAAGTATTCACCGCCCGATGTTATACACTTGTCCCATCTCTCCTGCCACTTTTTGAAGCAGTGTTGGAAGTCTTCAACCTTAAGTTGTTTGGGTTGATCTACCACATTCTTTTTTATTGTCTCAATATCATCAAATCTTTGTCCTTTGAGGTCAGTTTTAATTTTTGGAAATAAAAAAAAATCACAAGGGGCGAGGTCTGGTGAGTAAGAGGGTGAGGTACAACTGGAATTTGTTTATCAGCTAGAAACTCACGGATTGATAAGGCAGAATGAGCAGGCGCGTTGTCGTGGTGTAACAACCACGATCGATTTTAGAACTGATCTGGACGTTTCTTATGGAAATTTTCTCGTAATTTAATTAAAACTTCTTTGTAGTAAGTCTGATTTACCGTTTGACCAGTTGGAACAAATTCGTAATAAATAAGGCCTTTAATATCGAAAAAAGTAATCAACATGGTTTTCACGTTAGAACGAACTTGCCGAGCTTTTTTGGGTCTTGGTGAAGTTACTGATTTTCATTGTGATGATTGTCGTTTAGTTTCTATGTCATAACCATAGACCCAAGTTTCATCACCAGTTATTACATTTTTAATGAACCCTGGGTCATTTTGTGTTCGTTCTTTCAAACTTTGACAAACTTCAATTCGATGATTTTTTTGATCTTGAGACAACAATTTCGGGACCATTTTTCACAGACTCGTCTCATGCCTAAATCTTCAGTCAAAATAGTTTGACATGATCCAGAAGAAATGTTACACTCACTAGAAAGTTCTCTTATCGTCATTCGTCGATCTGATCGAATAATTTTTCGTACTTTTGCCACCATTTCCAAACTTCTTGATATTGAAGATCGTCCAGCATGAGAGTCATCATTAATGTCTTCGCGACCTTCAATAAACCTTTTATGCCATTCAAATATTTTAGACCTGCTCATCGCTTCATCTTCAAATGTTTTTTTAATCATTTCAAAAGTCTCAGTCGCTGATTTACCGAGTTTAACGCAAAATTTAATGCAAACACGCTGCTCGAGTTTATTCGACATGACAAAAACGGCAGACACAATAAAAGTATCCGATTTCAATGAATTGTCGTTCATTACTAACAGTTAATATTAACTCGCGGCTTGAATAATGTAATTGAGTGTTATCTCTATTTTTATTTGATGTGATATGTATATTCCCGATTCGATTATTTTTAGCGCATATATAATTTTAGTCCCGGTATTTTTTGATCACACCTCGTATATATATATATATATATTAGGTATATAGAAATTCAATTCAATCTTTAATTAATTAATATTTATTTTATAGATATAGATTTCATTGATATAGATTAAAACTGATAAAATAACAAACAAATTAATATAAATATTAATATTAATTTGAAATGGCATGTTCAATACGAATTTTTCCCAAGAGATGAAATTGTTCTTGATTTTTCAAGTATGTTTTCGAAATAGTTTTTCTGCTTTTCTTAATATATTTTCTATAGTTGATATTTCATCAAAACTCTATTCTTTTTCACCTCGAAAAAATATACGATTGAAAATAAAATTTTGTTGCGTTAATTACAACCACTAAGCCACATTTAGGTAAGGCCACATAAGGTACATTTATCATACCAACTACTTTGAAATGTACGGGTAAATTTTCCGTCTTTATATTCAATCAATAAATATGGAGTCGGCTTTTTGTTTTTTAATTTACATTTTTCATCATACGTAAATGAATGAAAATCATTGTTTAATAATTCATCTAATGTACAATGTTTTAATTTCATTATTTCAATATTAAATCAAAAACGCTACAAGATCTAATGTACAAGATAACCCACTAGACAAATATACGCAAAGAATAATGTGTCAGAGACTAGTCTCCCGGACTCCGTACAGTAACCATTATCGAAAATGGATTCCCTCCGAACTTTTATTTACCTTCTATCAATTAGAATTGAGACTGTCGTTCGACCGTCTCATTCGTTTTACGATGCCGTCGACCGTCGTTATCACTAAACTCGAAAATAGCTAAGAACGTATTTTCATTAAATCATACGTATTCGCACTGCAATGGACATAATATAATACACAAATGCATATTTATAATAAATATAGTTGACAACAGTAAATTATTTACATATAGATTACAAAAATACTTGAAAATAATTTAAAAAAATTAAAAAAATTTTCTTTTCTTCCGATGTTATAATTATTGGGGAGACGACGTCTCAAAGTTTCCCCTGACGCACCGCCACTGTATATTACAACCTTAGAGTATATTATAAAAATTAATTCGTACAGTTTTAAACCGAATACAAACAATTGGGAAAACGAAACGGGCAAATCTTAACTGTCATATAAAAATTAATACTTAAAATGTATAACAATGGCGTTTCACCTAACTTCCCTATTCGACTTAAAAATAAAATTCAAAGTCTATGACGTTGACGGGTAGGTAAGTTAGTAAGTATTCAGTATTGTTCTGCGAAAAATGTTGAATAAGCTCAGTAAGAGGTCTTTAGAAAATGTACCGCACATCCAAGTACAATGTGATTCAAACGGTTAGAATTTCCCCCTCCATCGACTAAACATTATAATTAACCATACGTGTATATGTTTCTGTACGGTGTTTTATCTAGAAAATAATAAAGATTTGCATGTAAATCGAGTCAAGTGTTTTGGAGATTGTCCTGGCCAATCACGGGAAACATTATTTCATATATACATTGAGATATACAATTGCGTTATCGTCATAAGGAGTAAAACGATTTTCAGTTGAAGACAAAGGAGCTTATAAGATGTTCTGCTCCAAGATGAGCGAAGCGAGACAAGTGTACATTTATTCTCAGTAGTTAAATCGTTATTGTTAATTTCGTTTTAATATCCGTCATCCTGAGAGTACATGTTTACCGCTGTACATCATATATGATTATGTGAGATTCGATTACAAAAATTACTCCTAAACCGTATTTCACAACCATACGTTTTAACTAAATAACACAATAGTTAATTGAAAAGTGAATTTAGCTAGAACGTACATACAAGTGTACTTAATAGTGGTCGTAAGTAGGTAATAATCGAAAAAAAAATCCATTTACATTCGTTATACAAACGGTTTATCGGTTCAATATTTATTCAGTTTTTGTACCCGACGCTTGTTTTGCCTCGTTTAATACTGTGTAAGTATTTAAAGTTGTATTTTATTAGTACATTGTGTTTGCGGTTTGCCGATTAGGACCATGAATCGTTCGTCTTTAATTGAATTACAAAAAAAAAACCAAATAATTTATTGACCGTTGAACTCGGTGTACTATTCGAACATATATATATATAAACATAATATTTTCGTGTCCGTATACTTTTTGGTCATCCATCTTTAGCGACGGCACGCGCACGCTTTATACCACTAACCCATGGGTTCTCAACCTTTTGAGGTTCGCCTCCCCTTTAAAACTATTTTACGAGTTCACGCCTCACCCCCTCACTACTTTAAGATTGATGTATGCATAATATTTATATGTAAGCTTGTAAGCTATACTCTAATGCAGGGACTGGAACCAAATATAAAAGAACCGATTCTAGAACCCAAGAACCCTTATAATATTAGGAACTGGAACCAAATTTTTAGATATTCAAAGAATCAGAACCGAACCGGAACCCTCATTATAAAATGAAAAATATTATTAATTATGTTTTTATTCTTAAAATGTCAAAGCATAAATAAATTACTGAGATATAAGTTTTTCAACATTTTATTTTTAATCTTAATTTTTAATATTATGTGCTGACAGATGGAAGACTAAATTCTAAACAGGTTAATACTCCAATTTAACCAATACGAGAGTTTTCTCAGCAGTGAATTGGGCAGCATATCCTATTATGTATAGTTAAAACTTAATTTAATTTATACATATTACTATTCTTAGACATGTACAAATTCTGTTTATGGCCAAATAAATTATTATTATTTATTATTATAGATACAAATTTGAATCACAACATAATGAGTTCAAAAATGAAATTTAATTTTGCATATTTTCTTATATTATTAAATACTACTTTTAGGCTTTATTATAATACTATAATATTATACATTACTATCTAGCTGTTAAAAGATATTTATTGCGATATATATATTACAATAAGTATATAATATATATAAATTAGTTGAAGAGAGACATTTTGAGACGTTTATTTTCATACGAGTATATTATGCCATATTGCTTAGTATAATGCCATAATATCGGTAACATAATATATAATTTATTATATGTAATTTTTAAATATGTATCCAAAAATACTACGGAATAAATTTAAACATTTTTTATTTAGAACCCTATAATACCGGAACTCGAATACTTATTTTGTATTTTTCAATAACCGGAATCCGAACCCGAACCTTTTAATAAAATAATTGAGAACCGGAGTACCAGTCCTTGCTTTAATGTTGGTTATTGGATTAATAAGAATACAACTTCAATGAAGTTTTTTTAACATCAAATTAATTTATTTGCATAAAAAAAATCGACCACGGCGGCGACCAATACAGCGGCAAGGCACGGCGTAGAAAACGGCAGCGTTTTAATTTTTCGTGTTTTTTTTTCAACATTTTCACGCCCTCCCCCCTGAAATTTTGTCACGCCTCCTTAGAAGGGTGCGCACCCCGAATTGAGAACCACTACACTAACCTATCTTAACCGCAGCCACGTTACGGGTTATTTTTTATCAACTAACACATGAGAACAGTTAAAAAACACGCGTGTTGTCGATTCGTTGTCGTCTAGTTTTTATTATTTACAAATGTTGAGGGAATGTACTTAACAAGTAGCGTAATGGAAGATTTTAAATTGTGACACGTGTCTCGATTTAAAAGGGTGGTGGGTGTTCTGGAATTTGAAAAGTTTAATGATTTGAAGTTGTAATAGGAATTTCAAAATTGATTTTAAGTGAACAATAACAACTTGGAAAATTATCCAATGTGTTAAAAAAACATTGTTGTTTTATTAAATAAATATTTCTTCAAAAAAATTTAATTACTTTTTTTTTTGTGGGTGTGGGTTCGACAGTATAAAATATTGTGACTTATTAGTGAATGAAGTTTATCACTCCACTGTTACTTATTGCTGCATGTATAGGTTAATAATTTATATTATTTACCTGCCGTTACCCTTTTGGTAATCAACTTTTGTACATATATTTCTTTGAGATCTTGTGTTATGTGTTCATTATTTTGATATATCCCCCTTATCAATTGCTCCGATTGAAAAACAATTTAATAATTTTAAAAACAGCGTCTTGAACATGTCAACAACACTCAAAAGCGAATTGATGACTTTATTAAGTCACATATTTAATCAATTAACGGCACAATGAAATTAATAAATACAACAATGAATACAATTCCAGGCCATGATCATTCTTTAACTGAAAATAGGAATGTGTATGAAGACTGTTTTCAAAAATTACAAATACCTTCCAACTAGAACGACTCATCATATATGCTTGAACCGGAAACAACTTTAGATACGATATTTTAAAATAATAATGCATCATTACAAAATAATTTGAACTTAGAAAGTGAAACAGATTTTATAAGAATGATTAAAAATAACCTTGATGTAGTTTTGAATTTAAACAAACAATTATTAATAATTATAATAATCAAATAATGTCATATTTGAATTATCGGTATAAATGTCACATTAGTCATCATTAGCATAGGTATACTTAATTTACACAACATTCAATAATTAGATAATGATGATTTTAGTGAAGAAAATTGGGAAAGTATTTTAATGAAACCAAAGAAAAAACACTGATTTGTTTACCATCTAACCGGAAAATGTTGATGAGAAATTTATAATCAAGTTCAAAAACAAAAATATTGGATTTATACTGATATAGCATACATAGTAAATCTAAGTTCAAGTCCATAAAATTAGACAACGGGAATTACTTTGTATTTAATGCATGTAGTTTGGATTTTCTGATTCAAATATTTGTAGTTGCTTACAACCATAAACGTGGTGACGGGGTAGTCAGAGGGTAGGCACTCACTACTCTGCGAACTTTCTCTCCCTTACCAAAGTATTCAATAT